GAAGATACCATTAGCTGCTCATCCTTTCTCTTCTCTTTGGTCAGCCCCAAATCTTAAGGTTTCTCATCTTAGACTCCTTCCCTACTAATACTAAACTCCTAAATCCATCTTTTCCATTTCAATCTCCTTTTACTTCCAATCTTTCTCTTGCTTTCAGGATTATTGTCAGAGTCCTAAATATTCTGTGTGTATAGCTGCTCACAGGTTCTAGTCATGGTGCACGTCCAATAGCTCTAAGTCCTAACCACAGTCTTGGAACTAGTCATCCAATTTTAAGGATCTTTCCAGTCTCTTTAACCACTGGATGTCTCTGATCCTTCTTCACTCCCTCCTCTCATTTTAATTAATTTTCAATCTCTGATTTCTTGCATTGCCCCAGCTTTCCCTGGTGCCACATCCACACTCTGTTTCTCCATTCACTGACTCCAGTCTTGCTGTTTCATACTTACAGTCTCCTCTGACAACCAACCTTCCTCACTGCAAATTCTTGTCCAGCCAATATCCCTATTCTTCACTTGTCTCCTGGCTCTTTATTAACTTTACTTCTATCTATTTCACTACGATTATGCTGCCTCATCCAAATTGTAATCTCAGTATTCTCGGTCTCCATTAATTTCAAGATTCTTTGCCTGGACTTGCCTCACAGTAACGAAAAATGCTAATGAATCTAGATTGGAACATGCCTCAGTTAGATTATATGAGACCCCAGATGCCAAATTGTGAAAAGTCTCTATCCAGCTTTAATGAACTGGGTTTTTGGGGGCAGTTTTTGGTGGGGTTTTTTTTTTAGGCTTAAAATACACTTAATTGGGGCACATTTCCTGGGAACTATTAACAGCATGCAACTACACATATACTGACATGCCTATCAAACATTAAATCCCTAATTCACTGTATCAGGAGTACAGGATTTTTAAAACAAAATATGTGGATTTTAATGTGGATAAAACATCTTTTTCTCTAGCCTTCTCAGGAATGGCTTAAACACTTTAGCAAAAACATTAAAAAAAATTAAGTTCACTTTGAATTAAATGCTTATTCATTTGAATGAAATGTTCATCTCAAATGAAATATTTAAATCCAAATAACCGGAGTTTGAAATTTGTAATTAACAGAAAACAAGATAATTTAACAGCATTAGTGAGCTCTAACATTAGATGTAATTAGCTATAGGTTAGCTTTATTCTCCCTTCACAAATACAGCACTGCATTTGAGAACAGATTATGTCAACTGCATCTACAGAAAATGATAAAAGACTTCTAACACAATACAGTTGTAATTTTGGAAGTGAGAAAATATTCCTTGGCACTACAGGAATAATAATTCATGTATCCACCTCCCTTAATCCCATAATATAAAAAAGGTACAATATAGGATATATACTATAAAGGATGTTTTCCTGATTCCATCATCATCTTACGGCACTGAGAGGTGCTACCACCACCTTAGTGGATCATAAATATAACTGATATGCTCAAACACTGCACATTGGTACCAACACACATTGTTCAGTTGACAGTGTGTATCGTCACTGAAACTTACTTGCAAGAGCTTTATCACATAATTTTAAAATGCAAAAACCTTCCAATAAGGAAAGAAAACAAATGGTCTGCACTTGAAATTTACAACTGCCAAAAGTATATTTATTTGCATTCGACATGTTTTCTTTTCACCCATAAGATGAAAAAAAAAAAAAAAAGGAAAAAAAAGGGTAATATAACAATTAGCCTATTGAATTTTATTACAAAAATCATATCTGTCACTCACCAATTTTTTCATTCAAAAGCATAATTTTCTTTTGGGTAAGTTGCATTTCACATTTTTTCTTAACAAGGCTTCGCTGAGCCTCTGAAAGACTCTGTTCTGTCTTTTCATTCAATAATCTGTAAGAGTAGAAGAGAATTCAGACATTTACATATTATTTTTTTTCCTTTTTGGAATGCCACTAAAATCACAAAAGTTAGGAAAAAGTGAGATTCTTATGTATATTTTAGAATATTTTATTAATATTAACTTTAATCTCTTGATAATAAAGTCTGAATACTCCTGTAAAGAACCACAGGAAAGTAAGAAGAATTCTTTACAACAGGTGGACATAAAAACTTCTCAAAAATTATTAAAATAAAAATCATCACTTGGGACATACATTGGAATTCCTGACCTATTTCAAGTTATATTCAAGTCATATGTTTAAATCAGGTAGTGTAGTATTAATGATTCTCAAATTGTTGAAGGAACTGAAGAGAACTATCAGCCTGGGTCTGGGGGAAGGGGGGAGAAAAAGATATTTTAGTATCAGCAACTAATCTTTAATTTTTACACTATTCATAAATCTGACAAATTATTATAAAGCAGCAATAACTCAGGACTGGACTTACAAAAGAGTTCATGTCATTTTACAAATCACAATACTCTTAGAAAGGTGTTGTGGGCCAGCACAATATTGCGTGCTAGCACCCAGCACTCCCACCAATCAAAATTCAACCAAAAAAACCACAACAGCCATGTGTCGACTACACCAGTCACTTGTAAGGACACACAGGTTTAGGAGAGTGGTTGCCTAACTGAACTCTATTTAAGGAAAGACAAGAGGAAAAAGTCGCAGTATCTTCTCTTGCAGTCTGTTCACTCTGTAGCCTAGTTCAGTCTGTGATCTAGTCCTTCGTATCTCTCCACACAAACTTCACATGTGATTGATCTTTCCCTCCAGTCGGTAAGTGATCCTTTTTTACCTTGCACTCACTGACCTATGCTTTCTTCCCTAAAGGCTTTGATTGAGTCTAGTCCCACTACATGCTTCTGAACATGGTTAGGAACTCCAGTTGAGCAGCAGGCCATAAACCCTATGCAAGGCTTCAGTTTTATTTCCTGTCATGAAAAAGCTCCAGAACTAAGAAAAGGATGTTTAAAACTAACTACGTGACACTCATTAGTTTATCCGTGTTTGCTTGCCTCTATAACAAAAATAAAAAAAGAATTATTTTTGTTTTAAATTCATACGCAATCTACCAAAAAAATCAATCCCTGCAGCTTCTAATAGACAGCTCCTAACTCTAAGTCAGAGTAAATTTTTTCACTGAAAACAGTTTTCAGCATATCATAATATCAACAAGCTAAGAACATTTACATATAAATAAGCAATGAGGAAAACAATTTCATTCCAAAAAGAAGGATGGCTCATAAGAGCAACTGTCAGAAATTCCTTTCCCTTTGAGCTATATAACAGTTATGAAAACCAATGAACACAGGCTGAGGTTACTCATCAAACTAATGCAATTATATACTTTTACTTACTTAAGTGAAACATATTCAGCTTCCTGTCGGCTCAGCTCGGTTTCAGAGTCCTGTGCTCTTCTTGTCAATCTTTTTTTCTCAGTTTCCAGAGAATCAATGGTGCCTTTCATTAGCGCCACTTTGGACATCTGTTCTAATCGTTCTCTATCTAACTGTAAATATAAATAAATATCAAAAGCCAAAAAAAAGCTGATTTATCCATAGATTTTCTCCTATTAATTCAAATTCTACTGGTTTTAGCATAAATCTCTTACTGAAGAAGAAATGCCCAAGTATCTCATTTTCTCAGGGCCTGACTCCAAGTCTCCTGAAGGTAGCTGGCAAAAAGCCAAAATGTGATTTTCACCTCCTTTAGGGGACAATCAATTTCCTGTCTTTCACACCTCTGGGAATATTTTAATTTATTAATGTAAATTTTGGGTTGGAACTATGCCCAAGGGAAAAAATGTTTGGCATTGATCAACGTTAAAAGTTTTCAGTGCAAACTAACATAACAGAAAACATTATTATGAGTGTATGAAAAGAGAAATCCCAGTTCAGGATACAACTCTACCAATGACAGCTTTAGGCCTCTACTAAGTTATACAGCTATGCTGATAACCTGATAGAGAAATCACTGCAAAACACTTTCATCAAGCACTATATGACCAAGTCACCACCATGAGGCCTTTAGGTCTGTATGTAGAACAAAGAACAGGTCCAAAACACCTTGCACAGACTCCAGCAAAGCTAGTTTGAAATATCCAGTTTAAAGAAAGGTATCTTTCTTTCTTCAAATGCTTACACTTAACATTCAAAGAACTGTCCTTTCTAAATTATTTGAGACAGGTAAAAAAATCTCACCTCATCCCTCTCCTCATTTACTGATTCCTTCAGTACTAATTTCTGTGTTACTCTAAAACAAAGGTCAGACCTCTAAAGAGCAAGTCAGTAAGCCTCTGGTACGCAGTAACTTTTTCAATACTAGTGCCATAAATTTCATATTGATGTATCACCCTCAAAGGGTACCAAATAAACTGAAGGAATAATATGATGTACCTAAAACAGGGCTATTCCCAGTATTCACTACAGACCATATGTCAAGTGTGTGATTAAAGCTAATTTATTACTCTGAGTACTCAGAGCTATTTAAGCCTACAGTGTATTCTTTATCACAGATGCACTCAGTTTAATATTATAATCCTTGGAACTGTATTTATAGGCTTGTTAGGATTTAAAAGGCTGAAGGGAAAAAAGAAAATTGACCAGAATTTATAACCACAAGATCTAGAAGAAAGATACAATACAGAAATCAATGTTAATCTATTTTCAAAATCAAGTTCTAGCAAGACTGTAAGTATATATGATTTATATTCATTTTATTAATGTTTTCATTTTCTATTTTAGCTCTGTATGTTAGCACACACAAATAACTTAAACTATATTAAACAGGACTTGACAGAACAGTACAATTATATTTGACTTTAGAGCATCAGGTCTTAATAACGTACAATCATAAGACAGTTCACATTGGAATGGACTCCAGGAGGTCTCTAGTCTAAGCTGCTGCTCAAAGCAGGGCCAGCTCTGAGGTCAGGTTGTTCAGGGCTTTGTCCAGTCTGGTCTTGAAAATCTCCAAGGCTAGGGCCTGCTCGACTGTCCTCATGAGAAACAACTATTTCCTTGTATTCACCCTGAACCCTTCTGATTTCAACTGATGCCCATTGTTGCTCATCCTTCCACCATGCACTGCTGTGAAAAGCCTGTTTCTGACTTCTTGATGAGTACTGGCAGGTAGGACTTGGGTTCCCCTTAAGCCACCTCTACTCCAGGTGGAACAAGCCCAGTTCCACCAGTCTGCTCTCACAGAGAAAGTGTTCCAGCTGCAAGTATTGCCAGAGCCCTCCATTAAACTCACTCCAGTTTGGCAAATGTGTTTCTTGTACCGTGGTGCCAAAAGCAGACGCGGTGTATTCCAGATGTGGTCTAATGAGTGCTCAGTAAAGGGGGACAATCACTTCCCTTGAGCTGTGTCCCGTTCACGCAGCCTAGTGCACTCTTGGCCTTCTTTGCCACCATGGCATACTGCTGGCTCATGGACAGCTTGCTGTACACCAGGGCCTCCAGGGCCTGAATTTTCAGCAGAGCTGCTCCCAAACCCATTAGTCTCCAACTTGTATTGGTGCCAGTGGCTCTTCTTCCCAAATTCAGAACTTGGCATTCATCCTGGCTGGACTTCATAAGGTTCCTGCTCTCCGCTCTTCTTACCTGTCTTGGTCCCTGTAGATGACAGCCCTGCTCTTGAGTATATCAATAGTTTCCCTAATTTGGTGTCATCTACAAACTTTATGAGCATACATTCTGTTGCCTCCTTCAGGTCACCAATAAAGATGTTAAACAGGACGGGCCTCAGAACAAAGCCCTGTGGTGCTCCATGTTAACAGTCACCGGGCCAAATTAACTGCTACCTCATAAGACATCCAATCAAATTTTTCCCAATGTAGCTGCCACTCATCCAGACGATAACACCCTAACCTGGATACAAGGACATTGTGGGTACCAGTGTTAAAAGCCTTGCGACAGTCTTGGTAAACAACATCCACTGCTCTCAGCCTGTTGTCTCCTGACGGAAACCAGTCAGGTTGGTCCTGCAGGATTAACCATGAAACATCACATGTATTATGTTTACAACTCCATAAATAACTATTTTCCCTTACATTTTGAATAGTAGTTTCTAGCTCTTCAATTCTCTGTTCCAAATGAGCCTTTTCATTAAATGCAGTCTCTTGGGAAATCTGTATCAAACAACAACAACAAAATCACGTATAAAACACGTCTGAATTCACGACAGTCATGTAATGCAATTATAGCTCAGGATTAGAACAGAAATCTTCAGCAACTTTAATTACACTCCTAAATAGTTTTCATGTTAAAATAAGCTTTGGGAGAGTGGAATCAAACCTTTAACTGCTCCCTGAGGCTATCACGTTCTGTAGTCATCCTTCGGAAATCTGACAGTGCTGTATCCCTTTCCATCTCCACATGTCTTAACATAGCTTGAGCTGTCAAAGTACTTTTAGGAGTCCTGGGGCATTTGATAACTTCCTGACAAGGTTGGGAAATCTCTTCTTGTGCCTGTTTTTAAAAACAGCAGCGTAACAGAAATATGGAATAGATAACGTAATATATTACTGTAGGACACAGCTGGTAAGGCAGAGTAACCCAGAAACTGTGCTGTATCAAAGATGAAGTAATGATTTGTGCATATATTCTTTGATTCAGGAAAGCATTCTTAACTCAGGAGAGCACTTACAAACTTGTATTTAACTGACATTCAAATCACAGAATTTCCATAACTTTTTTCTATTTTTTGAGCAAATGCTTTGCACTTTTTTCTTTTCTTTTTGTTTTTGTTTTTTTTTTTTTTTTTACACAAAACCAGGATTTCTTTTCTTGCATGTCACCTTCAGTTATTTTAATTAATCATACAAATATAAATAACATTACCCATTCATAAAGGCTGACAATTTTGTGTCTCTCAGCTGTTAAAACTTTGAGTTTACCCTGAATTTCCATCACATGGTGCTCACATTTTTTCACTGTTGACTTAAGTTCTTCATGTTCTCTCAATATTTTCAAAGCTTCTGGATCAGAGGACTCTCCCATAAAGAATAAGGTGACGTAAGGTGAAAGTAGAGAAACAAAACTTGATACACTTTCTTATTAGAGCTGGTTTGGAAATTCCTATAAAAGATTTAATAAGCCTTCAACCTAGTAACCTCAAGACTGTATATACATATCTCTTCATATTAGAGCCCAGATATACGCAACATTTTCTAAAATACACGTTTATTTTGAGTAGCAAATGTCTACCACAAATGGCACCGACAATCATGCTAATAATTACTTAATTTAAGCAGTTGTCAGTAACCATTTAAAGTGATATACATGCATGCAGTGTAAAGCAGCAGTTAAGTTCACATTACTTGCACATTCCCATCTTATGCATCCCTCTGTTTACAGTAAATTCCTTTTTCTTCCTGGTAACTATGGCTTTGGTAATTTAGCATAAGATAAGCCAATATTTTAAAAAATGCATTCCTCCTCTTCCAAAGTGTTTTCCAAGCTCACCTGGGTGGATGAAAAATTTTTTGACATGGTGCCACAAGTAGAGGTTCGCTTAGGACTTGAAAATCCGTTTCTAAGTACCTTCAGCAAATTCTCAGTCTCACTTTTATAGTAGTCTCTGTCCTCTTCCAGTGTTTTAATCAAGGTATCGAGCCTTGAAGGTGAATTCCCTTGCTCTATTTCAGCTTCTGTTTGTAAAATAACCTGTATGTGCAAAACTGAGAGAATTCATTCACTGAAACAGAACTTTTGTAAAGAATGATACTTCAATGTAAAATAGACAAACATACTCTTAAAAATGAAGATGAAGCCAATATCTCATTAAAATAAACATCCATTTAATACTTTAAAGTAACTTCTGAATGTTTGTATTTTCTCATTTTTGTTATACTGCAGAATACGTCTGAATGTCCTTCTAAAATGGATCTAACAGGACAGAAAAGGTCATAAAAGCTAAATGTTAATTAACTTGGAATATATCTGTTCAAAACTAAGGAGGACAATTAAGTAGATTTGTATTGGAACAGCTAATGAATTTTTAAATATGAAAGAAATTAGGCCACTATGCTTGCTTAAGATCCACGAAAGGTGAATTTTTGAAAGGGAAATAGAGTTATGTGCAAATAAGGGTAGCTGAAATCCAGGAAGTGATGTAGGGGCCTAAAACAGATTCTGAAGATGAACTGCAATTCCAGTTCAAAATTGCACACCAAATCCCTCTCCGTTACAATTTATCTGTTGGAAGTACCTGGACACATGAAAATTTAAGTACCTAAGGAATACTAAACTCTACAAATTCATTATTTTTGTTAAGACACATGCAGAAGTAGGTAGGTCTTTAAATCCCTGAAAAGTTATAAATTAATCACCTAACTCTCTCAGTGAATCTAGCTCTCAAATCCCAAACTTCCTGGCTGAAGGATCAAAATCTTTCAGGGTAATTGAGCAGTAAGCTCTACAGGGACAGACTGTTTTTTTCCAGAGGGGACTCTTTGCAGGATTGTGGCATAAGCTCAAATATTTTACACAGGAAAAAAAAACAAACCAAAACAACCAATCCCTTCCACCCCCCTGAAATTTGAGACAAATCTTTAAATTACATTAAGGGATTATTGTTTTGAACACACAAAAAAAATCCCTATCAATTTGTACTGGAAGCAAGTGAATGAGTCCACTCAATAAATTCAAATGTTAATTTAAGTTAACACTGGCAAATATTTCTACAATTACAACATTGTATGTGTTTTATAATATTCCAACAGTATCATTATGCCTTAAGGAAGACAGAATATTAAGATAAAAATTTTAAAGAAAAAA